GAGACTGATAAAAATAGCATAGGTAGACAATCCAGTAATTTCTGTGGGCTCGTTTGCAAAACTGCCTTAGCTATATGCCTACAAAAACATGAGAAATAAATGGCTTCAAGCTATTGTAATACCCGAATTGGATTTATTTAGGTTTTGTAGCCTTTTACAGCTTACGAAGAGAAATCCTGGCACAGCTTTTTAATTTTGCTTTGCTGACGTAGTCAAGAAGAGTAAGTTTTTATTACCTCACTTTTCTCTACCTTAAGAAGTCTCAAAGTGGCTTATGATCCCCTTCCCTTCCTTTCCCCACAACAGGCACCTTGTGAGGTAGGTGGGGCTGAGAAATTCTGGGAGAACCGTAACTGGCCCAAGGTCACCCAGCAGACTTCATGTGGAGGAGAAGTGGGGCATCAACCCTGGTTCTCCAGAGCAAAGTCCACCACTCTTAGCCCCTACACCCCATTGGGGAGGGTGGTATATAAATCTAATAAAACAAATTAATTAAAAACACACCTCTCTTGCTCTCAAGCGCAGTCTGTATTCACAGGTTTCATATAGTTCTATGGGACGTGCTCATCTTCAAATGGTCCATATTAACCATTTTGAATACAGCTGTAAAAAGAAGTTAGGGGAGACCTCTCCTTTTTTTGTTCTCAGTAACCCATTGTGTACAGAGAACTGACGGTGGGATTCCTCTCTCTAGGCAGCTCAGATACCGCTAAAGAAAAAGACGCCCTCCAACTCCGACACCAATGTGGATGTATCTGAGAACAATGAGGTACGTTTAAGCTGCGGCTTTACCCAAAGTGTCCTGGAGGCAAATGATCTTGATGTGGTTCTGACTTGTGGCCATTTAGTGGAGTCTCCTGCATTACTGTCATGCACCTGCTGTTTTTAAGCTAACCCGTTTAAGTATATAGAAACACATTTTAGTGTAACAGGAAATGTTCTGTTTGAAAGAAAGCCTTTAAGCTGATAATTCTGCCCGTGAAAGGCATAAAATACACGTTTTCATAGATCAGTTGCTGTTACGGCATGCAAAGCTTACCAATAATAACTCCCCACCTAACTGTACTATTGGTCTGATCCAGCAGGGCTTTCCTAACATTCTTGTGTTACGTCCTTAAGCATTTGTTTGGCTAGTTGTTCTCCCCCCCCCCCCCATGGTGCAGTACTTTTTATATTATTCCCATAGATCCATACCAGCTTTTTTCTTTTAAAGTAGGAAATAAGGGACCTAAATCAGTCATCAGAAAGACTGATGCCGTGGCAGGAAAAGACCACTGCCTTTGAAGTTTTTAAAAGCTAAGTTTCAGTTGTGGGCAACGCTCCCTCTAAGCTGTGGAGTCTTGTGAGCAAAAATTCTTCTTTGTGAGCTACCGGCATTGAAGTTGTGAGCGAGTGATTTGGCTGCTGCATAAATTAATTTGCTCTGGAGCCCATCCTTCCTGAGCGGAGACAAAAATGTGTGAGCCGGAGGCTAAGAAACTGTGAGCTAGCTCACGCCACCTGACGCTGCCACCACTCTGGATTTAGGTTTCCTTGAGAAGGCCCAGAGCACCCTCCCAAGACCTGTAGACCTCCCTTTTGGCCGAATAGCAGGCAGGGGGACCAGGCAGAGTGAAACAAGGAAAAGATTTATTGTATAGGAGGTCAAACAACAAGGTGCAGAATAATAACAGTAAGTGGGTGAAAAGAAAAGAAATCAAATGAGCCTGCTTGCGGGGAGGGCAAGGTATAAATCAGACAATAAATAAATAAATGAATGCCCTAACGCATCTAAATATATACTGTCCCTAGCTCACTCTCTGCAGTGGCCTTAGACTACTCACCCTTCCCTCAGGATGAGGGTTTCTTCCCTGCAGCAGCCTTCCTTCTGCCTCTGCCCTCTGGGAAGAAGAACAGCTTCTGCTCTGGCCCTCTTCTTCCCTATTGGTCAATTTTGGCTCCAAAACTTCTCAGGGGATTCTGGGAGTTGTAGGCCCAGCCTCACCTACTGCTAGCCAGGCTCCCTGGGCCTAGTAGGCCTCTGGTAGCACAGCCCAGATCATGACAAGAGGTGACACTGGTTGTGGGTGAGGCATACCGAGAGCCGGTGTGGCATAATAGTTAAGAGCGTCAGGCTGGTATCTGGGAGACCCGGATGTAAATCCCTGCTCATGCCATGAAAGCTCTCTGGGTGACCTGGGGCCAGCCACACCCTCTCAGCCTAGCCTACCTCCCAGGGTTGTTGTGAGGGGAAAAAATGGAGGAGAGGAGAACGATGTTAGCTGTTTTAGGTCCCCACTGGGGAGGAAGTTGGGTTACAAATGAATTAAGTAATTAAATACCATTAAGATGTTCTAGGGTTGCCAAGTCCTGCAAACTCACCGGCGGGGGAGGCTCCGACGGCTCCGGGAGCTGGCTCCGGATGTGCGCACGTGCCGCCAGCACGTCAACAGAAGTGACGTGCAACGTTGCCCACGTTGGGGGCGTGGCCCCGATCGTCAGGGGGGAAACCATAGAGTTTTCCCTCTGGTGATCTGGGCCACGCCCCCAACGTGGGCGACGTGGTTGCGTCACCTCTGGTGACGCAGCCACGCTGCTCTTCAGAGGCGGAG